ACAGATATTTCACTATGTATTATTTTGCCTGCTGGGTATGCTGCTTTTACTATGCAAAATTGCATTAAAATAAAAGGCATATTTTGCACTAGAGATTTCAATGTGACTGCACAGTAGTACAGCAGGAACGATACTTAGCAGTGCTGTATACAGCAGTGTAGTCATGTATATGAAGTTACGGTAAGTAAGAATAATACAGTTGCTAGCCCCTTTTATACGATACGGCAATGTTCTGTAAGCAGCAGTTTTGCGACTTATCCTTTTTTATCTTTGACATGAACAGAATGCAACCCTATTGATTTCCATAGAAAGCTATATTACTTAGTGATGGGCTGGGACGGAATTTTGTTTTATAGAGCATCTTTCATAGTCAAGATATCTTGAAGCACTTTACAAAATAATAAATTAGGCCCTGATCCTGAAAGCACATGTAATTGTGCATACGTGAGTAGTCCCATTGATTTTAATATTAAGCTAATGCAGAAGTTGTGATGCTGTCCCACAGCTAACAAGCAGCTCGGAGCCCTGGCTCAAGCCGAAGCCCCGGAATCCCTGAAGCAGGATTCTCAGCCTAGGTGGAGGAATCTCTGTCTCTCCAGCAGGGCACAATCCTGCAGCACGCTTAGGACACGCCTGATATCTGTCAGTCCCCACAGCAGAAAGGCTGGATGCAGGCCTCTAATAATGCAGTTTTGGGTTGACCAAAACTATTTGCAAATCCAAGTCAAATTTGGTGAACAGTTTCACCCAAAAAAAGAAACAGAGAATTTTTCCCCCGAAAAGTCGAACTGTCTTGTTTTGACATTTTCAAAATAAAATAGGATGTTTTGTTTAGAAATGTAGCTAGATTTTTTTAAAAGGGTAAAAACACCCAAAATGAAACAAAACAAAATGGGGGGGGGGGAATTGGTTTTGGTCAAATGAAACAAAATATTTTTCAGATTCTTTTGGTTTGGCTGCCAAACCAAAAAAATCAATTCTCTGATGGCTCTATTCTTAACTTGGTTCTTATTCAGTGAAAACATCCACTAATTGTAAGATTGGGCCCTTTCTGAGGAATCAACTATTTTCCAAGTTACTGAGGTTGTAATTTTTTTTTTAAGGCAAACATAGAACTTTCCACTGCACGGTGGCACAGAAATATACCACATGGTTACTGCAGCACCTCATGAAATAATTTTGATAGAGCATGAATATCCACATGGATATGTTCCGTGCAAGTTATTGCACTGTTAGCAAAAAAACCCAACAAAGAACAAAAAAGGAATTAAAATGATTAAATTGTTCTTATAATAAGAACAATGTTCTCATGAAAATCTATAACACCAATCACATTCTGAGCTGAGAAAGCATGTTCATTCGATAGAGAGGTTTCAGAAAAGAGTAACTATAGCCATTATTTAACTCTTCGTGCGTAGGTAATGCCACTTATAACATCATTTGAGGACCTTGACTTGGGGTTTGAGCTAAAATACCATGTTAACTGATGGGTATCTAGATCTGTGCGAAATGTATGGTGTGTTTTGATTTACTATTTCATTGGTTTCAGTTCATGTGATTTCCCACCCCTTGAGTTTTAGGCTCATTCGAAGCTAGAATGGCAAAGGAACTCAAATTAATAATCCCCAGCTCTTATATAGCGTTTTTCATCAGCAGATTTCAGACTTGTGTGTTTTGCAACACTCTGCCTTGCGTCTGGGTTTGTATGGTTTCATGAGACATCTCAGTGATCCAGATTTCAGAGGTTTCACAAAGGTTCATTTGACCAAGAAGACCTACCATTTGCCCACCTGTAGCAAACTGTCTAATGACCCAGTTCCCCAACAGTCATGCCCATCTAAAGTGGCAACAAGTTTTGATGAGATGTTCTGGGGGTTCAAAGGTATTTTCTATGAAACGCCTCTGCTTTCATTTCCATGTTCTGAGTTTCTGATGGCTTTGTGGTTTTCTTCAAACAGTCAGCCAGCTCCACAGAGAGACCATCCTCTGTTAATTCTGAGTTTCTTGGGTCAGTAGCTCTGTTAGACCTTCATGTAGCTAACTTTAGCGTACATTTTATTAAATATGCTCAGACGAATGATTCCAAGAGCTTTATCAGCAGCAGTTGGCTGTCAAGTGCAGCCCATGAAGGGCTTTTTTGTTTAAGTGTATGCTACATTTATATAAATAAACACTGGAGTACAATGTTGAAGTCAACAACTTCCTAGACAAGGTCAGAATGCTACAATGGCGGACTTTGCATTGGGGGTGGGGAAGGGCAAGAACGCTCTTTCTTTTAAGTAAACTGCTGGGAAATTAGTAATAACATTTTGTACCTTTTGTCCTTCAGTAAGCAAAAGTAGCCTTGACTGTGTCTTTCTTGCTGCAGTGGAAAGTTAAATCACAATGGGCAACTTCAGAGAATGTTTAAAGTTTTTTAGACCCAGTGTTTTGGTAACCCTGGGCCTGATCACGCTCCCAGTGACTTCCCTAGGAGAAGGAGATGGTTCCATGGTCTGTAAAATTATTTGAAACAACAGTGTATTAAAACTATCTTATAGTTGGTTCTGAAATGCTGTCAGTTACATATTACTCACTCTTCTGTCACAAAACTGCTAGGTGACTGATGATGCAAAGATTACAGAGTAGGAAGGATTTTCTACTGAGTTAGGCACTGAACTGGAACTGAGGAGATGTGGTTTCTATTCCCAGCTCAGCCCCTGACTTGTCTACATGGTGCTTTAGTCCACACAAGAGGGTGTAACTTTTAGTCTGTGCTAGGCTGTCACACACTAAATGACTCGGGTGGACCCTGCTGGTGCACACTAATGTAGTACAGTTTGAAATGGGACCACATTAACGTGCACCAGGGAAATTTTAGTGCACACCAGCACGGTCTACACGGGCCATTTAGTGCACGATACCCTAGCACAGCCTAAAATTTACCCCCGTATGGTGTGGACTAGAGTGCTGTGTAGACAAACCCTTTGTGTCTGACCTTGGAGAAGTCATTTAATCTACCATGTGTCCCAGTTCCCCATTTGTTTAGTGGAAATAGCACTTTCCTGTCTCGCAGTGTTGGGGAGAGAATAAAATCCATTAGTGATTTGAGGCCCTCAAATACGAGGGTGATGAAGGCTGTAGAAGTATCTAGATAGGAAGACCACTTTGGTGCCAGGCCTAGTATTGGAATTCAGTGGTCAGGAGCACAATTTCAGCAAGTCTGACCTCATGTCATGAGACCTGCTTGATCATCCGGGGCGGTGGGTCCAGCCTCTCAGGTAGTACTGGATCGGTTATCCTGCTATAACACTTAAGGGTGGTACTTTCCAAAGGTCTCAGCACTGGCCTTACTCTACATCCAGTCAGTGGTAGAAGTCCCCCAGTCTTCAGCGGGGACAGCTAGGCCAAAACCAAGCACCTCCTCTTAATACCAGATGTGGTCCTTACGACTGTGAGTAGGCCCATTGGCTTGCAGTATGTGCTGCTTCCATGGGACTATTGATGATAGGAGAGACTATGGGACTGTTTTCAGGCTGGGTTGTGCCAATTCTGCAAGGTGCTGATCTCCTTCTTCTCTAGCTGAGTTACCTGAGGATGCTCAGCTCGACACAAGATGTGAGCTAAGCAAATGGGGCCCGATAGCAGTTAAGGAGGCATATCTGAGGGCAGGATTTTGCCCGGGTTAGCTATACCAGGTTAGCTATACCAGGTATATCCATGACCCCATCCCTCCTGCTCAGGACAGAAATTGCTAGGGAAAGATTTTGAACATCATCAGATTCTTTTCTGTGCAAAAGTAATCCGCTTGCATCTCAGGGTTATGTTTTGGCAGGTTGTTTTTTGAAAAATAAATAATGTATAAAGAAATATAATGATCTGCAACAAGTTGCTGAAGCTGCTTCACTTAGCAACCAGTGACTCAAAGAGCTTTCTGTCACTTTGCCCTCCCTGTCTTCTGAAACTCAAATCTGATCTGCACTTAACAACTAACTTTGTAAAACGTTTCATTTTTGTTCCTTCTCCCCTTACCCAATTTATCACAATGCTTAGTAATGATGTGACGCAATAATGGGAAAACAAAACAGATGTGGAATTCTTTGTTACTTGCATCACCCAACATCTATCTCCGTGATGAATTGACATTTTTGTCCCCAGGCTGAAGAACATCACTCAAACACCTGAATGTGGCGATAGTCCATGATATTAAATATGGCACCAGTATCTTTACACTTACTGAAGACTCCTGTTCAAATAGTTGGAATGCCTAGCGCTAAGAGACATTAAAATGAAACGCCCATAAGTTGACAAGCTAAAACCCTGTGTTGAGAGCTCTGAATTTCCCACTAGCTGAGAACACGATTGACAGAGACAGGCCTGCTGCTTCTACAAAGTGTTTCTGCTTCCAGCTAAAGAAACATTAGCTTTGGGACTTGTCCTGCAGTCAAGCCACCCACAAAAATTGGAATTAATTAGTGTTTGGAAAGTGCTTTGGGCTCTTTAGATGAGAGGCGGGAGATGCAGGAAGTGCAAAGGATCATTCTTTTTTTATGAACCCGTTCCAAGCCCAAACACCACTGATGATTTACACCAGAGATCAGTCTGGCCCCCATTAACTTTAACAGTTAATTTAAATCAACAGCATTTTTCTATGGAGTTCGCAAAATTTCTACTTTCAAAACATGGATAATAATTCTTATAAGACTCGTCTCCCTCCGAGTGGATCACTTGGAAATTATCGCACCATGTTATGAAATATTATTTCTCGGAACATATTTGTTTAACATTAGTGGAAGGGATTAAAAGGATGTTTGCAAGGTTTATCAAGCTCCATAAAAGAACGTTTGCAAATCAAATGAGCTCACTGGACGGCTATTTCTTTGATGTGAATTTTGTTATCTTGTGCATTTAGTCAGCATTTTTCATCGTCCAGGAAATCAGTGTAATTTGAGATTTTTCCTTTTCCCCCTGCATGCAAACTCTTACTTTTCTTTTTTTCATTGTGTGTGGGTTTTTTTTAGTCTTCATCGAGACGCGCTGGCCTTTGTTGCACTAACTGTCACACAACTAATACTACCCTCTGGAGACGGAATGCAGAAGGAGAGCCAGTCTGCAATGCCTGTGGATTATACATGAAACTCCATGGGGTAAGGCGCTAATTTATCCTCCAGAGGAAACCATATTGTCTTTAATCATTTCCCACCAGGTTTAAAATATCCTGCCTTCACTTCCTATTGGAAGGGGCAGCTTTATCCAGTCCAAGAATTGGAAAGAATTCAGAAAAGAGCTAAAGGAATGATCTAAGTCTGGAAAACACGTCTTATAGTGAGGGACTTAAGAAACTCAGTCTGTTTCATTTATCAAAGAGAAAGTTAAAAGGTGATTTTTATCACGCTCTACAAGAACATACATGGGGAAGACATTTCTGATAGTAGATGGCTCTTTAACCTAGCAGGAAAAGGCATAATGAAATTCAGTGGTTAGGAGCAGAAGCTAGATAAACTCAGACTGGAAATAATGTGCACGTTTAACGGTGATGATAATTAACTATTGGAACAATTTACCTGTGGACGTGGTGGATTCTCCATCACTTGAAGTCTTTAATTCAAGGTTTGCTGTCTTTCTAAAAGATCTGCTGTAAATCAAACAGAAGTTATGGGCCTGATGCGGAAACTACTGGGTGAGGTTCTCTAGCCTGTGTGATGCAGGAGGTCAGAGTAGATGGTTATAACAGACCCTTCTGGCCTTAAAATCTATTCATTTTAAAGGCGGCAATACGTCTTTCCTTTCCATTATCTCAGGGGCACAAGTGTGATTCTGTTTCTGCTAACATTTTAATATGAATGTAGTAGATAAGAAAGATGTGATTGCTAGCCTGGAGTTCCCTGTTTCCATAGAACAGGTACCTCCAAGGTAGCAGCAGGGCAAACTTTCCCAGACCAGGACTATGCACCTGCCCAGACCTGGCAGGGGCATGTCTAGAGGAGACAGGATGGTTTAGTCTCCACGCCCATTTGATTCTTGGTTTCTAGTAAGAAGGGCAGTTAGCGCCAAGTTGTGGAGGTGGTTTGATGATGTTTATCCACTCAGGGCAGGAACCTCTAGTGAATTGTCCATAGGCCACAAAGCAGACTTTGTGCGTCAGCCTGGGCCAATTTGAGCCAGTGCCCTAGAGGTTAACATCTCCCTATCCCATGACCATTCCCTGGGAGACATCCAGTGCCCCACACACGGGTGTAATTTAATAAGACACAGTTGCAAAGGTCACTAATAAATCAGGAAAAGGAAAATAGGAAATAATGGAAAAGAACAAAATTTGTGTGAAAGCCTCAACTGTTCAGCCTTATACATCTTCCAGCCAAGGCCTGTTGTGGAGAAAAATAGCACTTAGTGAAGGACAAGGTCTTTGCATGAGCTACAGTATGTAAATATAAAAGTAACACACATGGCAGAGCTCAGTACAATACACTATTAATGATTCCAAACTTTGTGGGTGTCAAGGTGCCACGACCTCTGGCAATGAAAAAGGAAAGCATCCAGACAAGGAAAAGGAAGCCTAAAAACATTACCAAAGGCAAAACCTCAACAGGTATGGTTCTTTTATTATTCCTCCCTATGGCTTAGACTCTAAGTAGGGCCTAGTGTTGTCAGTGATTCTACAGCTATGGAATTGGCTAAAAAGTTAATTCCTGCTACAGAATACGCCTGCAGAATCTAATCTTTCCTACAAGAAAACAGAGTGTCTTTTAGTCTTTATGACTGGAAAGAAAACCCTGCAGATGCGAGCTGATGCAGTGTTGTTTCCCTGAGCCTCAGACGAGAGTCCCATTCTTCTCATTGGGGTGTCCACTCATGTTGGCGATGTAAACGGCAGTGCTGTTAGCTATCTCACTGCTGGGCATTTTAGAAGACACATGCAGACACTGTATCCCTGGCTGTTGGATGGATGGAGTATATAGGGGTGGGAGCAGTAGGGCAGCCGGGTATTTTCAAGAGTAGCTGGGGCAGAGGGAGGTAGGAAAGGTTAAGAGAGGATTTAAAAAATTCCCCTCAGAAGCACTTGAGAGAGATCTTGTCAATTTCACTATACGCCTCCATGCTGCGCAAAGGGTTCCTGAACTGCAACTTCAGCAGCAAGGATGTAACTGGTGTAAAGGGGAAAGGTGGGGGCCGGGAGTGCCTCAGATGGTCTGCTGAGCCAGTGAGGGGAGTGCCTCGTGTTGCACTCAGCAGCAACCCTCTTGCTGGTTTAAGAGTGGGGCTGATGGACTCTGAAACCATTCCAGCCCTCTTCAGTCAAATGCATGATGAGAGCCAGGCTGTGGGGCCTTTAGTGTGATGGGTGTTAAGGTGGGGAGCAAATGAGTGGACTCGTCTCAGGGCTCTGACAGGAAGGGCCACCCAGGAAGAATAACGTTCATGTCTATCACGTGTCTCCCTCCCTCCCAAGTACCTCTAGCGTGTCACTTACCAATCAGTTCTGTTTTTTCCATGTTTTATCTGAGAAACAAACAAACAAACAAACTACCACACAAAAAGTACTCTCATGTTTCAACAATGCCATGAGATAGGAGATTCTCCCCTAAAAAAGTTCAGGGAGCTATTAAAATATAAATGACTGTTTCTCTGAGAACTGACTTATGTGTCTGCTACTTTATCAACTGGTAACCGTTATCTTTCAGGGTCTACAACTTCAGCCACTAACTCCCCTTCTTCCATTACAAACTCGGACAGCACCGTCACTTTAAAAACCGAACCCAATGTGACATCACAGTACCCAGGACAAACCATAGTGTCAGTCTCCCAGGTAAAGCTTGAGATCAGAGAGCTATTTGTATTTGTTCGCATTGATTTTTTTGACTAGCCGGTACCGGACTAAGTAGTTTAACTGTCTGTTGCTACAACAAGCCAGTTTCATAATTAGACTCTCCCATCCACACCTCAACCTGTCTTCTACCCCTAAATGCACCTTTTGCTCTGAAAACTATTAGGCACAGATATAAAGGGTGGCCACAAGTTTTATAATTTGCATAGAGTCCAGTTCTACCCTTCTACAGAGTACACAGCTTCTACTTGCACTGATGGCAATGGGCGTTATGTCCATGTCGCTGGGCTTGATTCTGATCTTGCTCTGTTGTAAATCAGGAATAACACAATGGAGTCAATTGAAAACCAGTGTAAGTGAGATTAGGAACTTGCAGAGTTCTTGACAGCTTTCTAATCAGACAGGTATATACTTACCTGTATGGCATTCTCTTTATTGTTCTGCTGGCAATTAGAGGTGTATCTAACACTCATGAAAGTGCAGCGCAAAGAGTGTTCTCTAGAGATCATTGGGTGTCAGACCCATTTCCTGTCTCACGAGTTTGCCTGGATGGGTTGCATTGGGTGCACGGATTGGTGCTTTGTTTATCTGATGGAAGAGATGGCTCTAAATCAAAATGTTCTGACTATGCATCGTCTTTATATTGGGCCTAACCAAGCCTCTGAATCTGAATATGTCTGAATTTAAGGGAAGTTCCGACTGAGATCCCATCTGTGAGATTTGGTGTTCTCTCTAGTTTATAGTAGAGGTTCTTGGTTGACATTGATAAATGTGATTGGTGTTATGGTTAGAAAGAACATACATGTGCCCAGAGATCTCCAAACTGGACACATTCAATCTATCAATCAATCAGTAGAGCCAGGTATAGCACAGGCTTCTTCCAGAGAGCTCTGCTAAGGCACTTTAGTCTTAGAATGAAGCAATCCTCTTGTCTAGTTCTGGGGTTCTCTTGAGCATACAATTCTGCTAGGGTCTAATCTATCATATTCATAATCTGTCATATTCATACTACTAAATTATGACAAATCTGACTATTCTTTTGCTAATGACATGGTGCGAGTAATGGGTTCATCTTACATTCCCTTCATTCAGAATTGGAACACTGTCAGCTAAATTGCTGGGGTTTTCAATAGAGCCTAAGGAAGATAGGCATCGAATTCCCATTACATTTCAATGGAAGTCAGACACCCAACTCCGTTAGGTTTCTTCAGAAATCCCATCCTAAGTGATTAGCTAGACGATTTTAGAGCTCGATTATTGCATCACTGATCAAAGACAAATACAAATAAATAAAAGTAACTGTAACTCAGTGTTCTCATGTTGAAACTTCTGCTTTAAATATATATTAAAATACATCTGTGGCTTTATAATAATTCTCCTTATCGTAATCTTCATAGGCTCAAAGCCAGTCGGATGACACACTGGCCAGCGGCCATTCTGAGTTCAAATTTGAACCTGAGGATTACGCCTTCACTTCTGCTACCATGACTCAACAGTCAGGACTAAGCATTCCCCTCCGTCAGGACTCTTGGTGTGCACTGGCATTGGCCTAGAAAGAAGGCTTCCAATAAAACACTCTGGACCAACCTTTCTACCTTCCCAACTAACGGATAAGAGGCAAAAGAAATGGCTGCCTTCGAGCTTTGGGACTGAAAGGTTTCAAGTAGTCCATATATGATTCTGTGTTCAAAGACAGATTTCTCTCAGAGGCTGGAAGTGAAAGCTTAGAAAATGTTGGCTATACTTGGCCAAGTTCATTCTTCCTGACTGATTTGTTCTGTGGTACTCACGCCTCTAAAAGCTTTCACTCTGCAGAACTGAACTGGAGACGCCTCCCCAAAGCAAAAGAAAAGGGGATGTCTCTCTTTTCATGAGGAATCCTTTATCTTCCTGAGATGAAACAAATAAATACATCCCAGAATCTATGTTTATTCACGATTATTTCTCCCTTTTCTGACTCTTCTGTGTGCAATTTCTTCCACTTTCCAAAAGACTGTGATAATATAGCACCAAGTAACTTAATTCTATTAACACGTAAACTGTGTTGCCTTCCTTATGTTTACTGGCCACAGCAGGAAAGGAAAAAAAGACCCTGTTGTTTTAAACGTATGCTGTTTTATATTAAAAACAATCATCTCTATAGAGCATTCGCTTCTGAAGCATTTAGTCTCTCAACACTGATCCCATGAGTCATTCATGACATAAACACGCTGCTCTTCCAGTTCTATATCCAAAGAAAGAATTTCTTTTTCTTTTTAGGCAAACCATGTGACAAAAATGGTCAAAAAAGATTCCGATAATAAAATAAAAGAAACCTTTGAAATGTCCTTTTTCTTTTGGGTTATTTTGTTGTCGTTTCCAGTATTGCCAACTCCACGCATTCAAAAATCACAAGTAAAGCCCCTAAAAATCATGAGCTCAGCTTAAATTCATGAGATCTTTTTTTAACCCTAATAAATGTGTGGTTCTTTTTGTTTGCCTTCTGGTGTTAGACTGTTTAGAGTTCATGTTTTCAAGCTTTTATCTGAAGTATGGGCATGGCTTACAGACTCCTACATGGAGAACTCAGAGCTGGGATTATGATCTGGGAATTGGCTGTGTAAAATGGCAGCCTTGTCTACAACAGGTCTATTTACGGCCTGCATCCTGAGTCATAACTTTAGGGAGAAAATAAATTGTTCCTACTCTTTATTCCTGCCAGCAATGGAGAACCCATGCAGTTACAGGCGCATTGACGTCAATGAAAGACTGCCTTTGACTTCAGTGGGAGCCCTTTCAATTAGCTTGCCTGCGCTTTTGGATCAGCTCCTTAGATCACGTGGTCTTGAAAGCTTATGCCCAGATAAATTTGTTAGTCTCTAAGGTGCCACTAGTACTCTTGTTTTTGATAGGGTTCTGTATTGCCCTTGATCGTGCAACAGCGAGACAAGTCAAATTGCCATGAACCCATGGAAATGATGTTGGTGGGACCTCATGGAGGCGGTAGGGAGCTACATAGTGACATTCACCCCAGTGCGTCACCTCTCTTTGCCCCCTACAGCTGCCTTGCCTCCACAAGGCCCCGGGGAAAGGAGTGAGGGAAGAGCCAGTCAATGCACCATGTCCTGTTTGAGCTCTCTGGTCCAAGGGTGGCCAACCTGGGGCTCCGGAGCCACACGCGTCTCTTCAGAGGTTAACATGCGGCTCCTTGTACAAGCACCGACTCCGGGGCTGGAGCTACAGGTGCCAACTTTCCTGTGTGCCGGGGGTGCTCACGGCTCAACCCCTGGCTCTGCCACTAGCCCTGCCCCCACTACATCCCTTCCCGCTCCCTCCCCTGAGCCTGCCGTGCCCTCGCTCCTCTCCCCCCAACCCAGAGCCTCCTGCACACCACAAAACAGCTGATCGGGAGGTGCGGGGGGAGAGAGGGAGGCACTGATTGGCGGGGCTGCCGGTGGGCGGGAGGCGCTGGGAGCAGGGGGCGGGGAGCTAATGAGGGGCTGCTGACATATTACTGTGGCTCTTTGGCAATGTACATTGGTAAATTCTGGCTCCTTCTCAGGTTGGCCACCCCTGTGACATTTGTAACACACTTAGCACCTGGGAGCTGACTAACTTCCCCTTTGCAGCTTTTGTGAACACAGGGGATGTGCTTGGTTGGGGGTGAGCTCAGGTGGAGCAGAGTGAGTGCTGTGGGGTGATCAGAGACACCCCATTTTTGAAAAGCAAAAAAAAAGAGGGGGGGCAGAAGTTGAGTAACATCATAAAATTACTTTTCCAGACTCTCTTATTTCTCACGTCTAAATTAAAACTCTGCCTAGCTGAATAGCTATTTATGGTCAGGAAGCTGTCAAGTAATAGTCCCTTAATATAGAAACAGACTGGTACAAGGCTTCCTGAAGCCGCTCTTCCTCCTGTCAGAAGAAATGGATCACTCGATTTTTATTATAAACAACAGGATAAATACAATCGGGGGAGAGTGAGATCTGGCATCAAATCATGTCTCATCTGAAATGGAGTATGGAACTTTTCCTCCATTTAATCCATGTTCGAGAGAAAGCAGATGCTCCAAGCAACTTGGGGAACATTAGTCCCCTTTCAACTTTGCTTAACTTCAAAAGTGACATAAATACCCATTCCCTCTAGGAAGCTAAATAGCTGCAGGCTTACATTGGCTTTGCCCTTAACTGTCATTTAAAGAGACTATGGATTTCAATCCAGCCTTTTATCTAAAACCCTAAGTGAAAAATATTTTGCAGTTTGTTTTAGTGTAACTCAAAAGTCTTATTAGCGTCTCAGATCAGGTGAAACTTCAGTGCTGCATAGCGGCTGGAAGAGTTTCTTTCCCCCTTTGTAACACTCCTTTCTTACAGTGAGTTAAGAATATGCTCCAAACAGACCGTCTGCGTGACATCCTCAGTTGGTGTAAATCTGTGCAGCACCCTTGACAGCAGTGCATCTGTTCTGATTTACACCTAATGACGTGGCCCTCAATCTCTTAGCGCTTTGCTGAGCTTGGCATTAAACACAGTGGACTCTCTATTGAGATATATGCCAGACAAGCCTCCCCAAATTTTCCCTGCTTGTTGGTCCCCACCAGTCAATGCTGCTTTCACTTGTCTGCAGAGCTGGTGTCTTTCTAAGCCCTGATCCCTGCTGGGAATCTGATTCTCCAGTCTATCCATGGTTTTACTCTATCTGCTGAGGAGCAAGTAGTGGTGGTGAGCTATCCCTGGGTCTCTGCTTTCAAGTGCAATAGGCCCAAAGCGTCATTTATTTTGTGTTGGGAGTCGGAGGCGATGGGAGCAGGGTGGAATGCTGGGTCACGTGCCCCCTCCTGATTTGCTGGTTGGTTTGCACTGAGCATGCTCAGTCACACTGCCGAAGCCAGCTGCCCTCACTCTGCCTCCACCCCCACACACCTTGCCCACACTATCGGCAGGCATGGGTCATCACTGGTTGGACTTTGTAAGGGCTGGTCTTTGGTCCAATTTCAGAATTGAGAGGTGACCCAGTGGCCGACCCCAACTGATCTTAGAGGCTCAGTAAAAGCAGGGTGTGGCTCACAAGAGGCTTTAGTCTTTTTTGATTGGTTTCACTCAGCTCGCAGACTGGGCCAAAGAGTTCCCCTTTCAGTGGGCTTGCGTCTCTGCTCACTTGCAGTAGCATGAGCTAGTGGCAATTGCACTCAGCTCCATGACATCAGACTGATGTAACCCTGATGTGCGAGAGAGGAGGGCCAGGCCCACTGGGCTCTTCTAAAGTGTTCTACCAGGGCTTCTCATGCACCTTCCTGTGAGCGGCTCAGATCTCACCATTTCACTTGTGCATATGCCCACCTGCACTCACTCGCCCTCGCGTGAGCCCTATCTCACTCACACTCACTGATCCCACCTCCTCTTGTGGAGCACCGAGATGGAGTTATGAAAATCAGACGCGCCTTCCCATTCCTGATTTTCTTGTTTGCAGCTCCCCCACTTTTCATGGGTATCTGTCTATATGCATTTTGAAACACCTACGATGCGGCCTTCTGCTCCCTCTCCTGCTGCTTTGCCTCCTCTTGGTCTGAAAGAGGCTTTTTGGTGGCAGAGCAGTATCTGCATCAGCTTGAGCCCTGGTGTGAGCAGGTGCATGGCATCTGAAGTCACTGGCATTGCACCAAGTCAGAATTTGATCCTTAGCGTTATCCATGGTTCCTATCTCTCTCTCTGGCTAACTCACTTGCTAGGCTGTGCCCACGGTTCCTCACCACTATCCTCTCCCCAGAAATATTTGGCGAGCTTTTGCTCTCATTAACACCAGCCCAACTCCCTTGACCTCAGCACTGGCCAGTTGTGTTCAGAAAAATATCCTCTTCCCCACAAAACTTTTTTGTACTTCACCATTCATGACATTGCCCACTGACCCAATGGCATGAGCTTCCATTGATTCCGTCTTCCCCCTGGCGATGGAGGAAGAGTTCACCTGATGAGTTGTACCAACCCTGCAAGTTCGCCCTCTCCCTCACGTGCAAGTAGGTGAGACGGTCTTCACTGCAGCTTGGATAAACTGCAAACAGAGGGGCGGCCAAAGTTTGGTGGACAGGATTCTACCATTCGATCAATGACCCACTGACTCTATGATTCCCAACATGCAATGTTCTATCTTGGATATTTGAAAACACTATTTCACTAGGAGGGTGGTGAAGCACTGGAATGGGTTACCTAGGGAGGTGGTGGAATCTTGGTCCGTAGAGGTTTTTAAGGCCCAGCTTGACAAGCCCTGGCTGGGATGATTTAGTTGGTGTTGGTCCTGCTTTGAGCAGGGGGTTGGACTAGATGACCTCCTGAGGTCTCTTCCAACCCTAATCTTCTATGATTCTGTGATCTTGACCCAAGCGCTCCTATGAAAAGGGAGAACTGGTGCTCTGAGCTGTGATCTGCAAGAGTCCTACTTCCCTGTTAAAGAGGGGGACAGAATGAAGCAATCTGGTCAGTTTCACACAGCATGGAGCATAGCTGCAGCTGCTGTAAATCAGTATAATTGAAGTCAATGGCATTATGTTAATTTACACCAGCTAAGTTAATTTACACCAGTCCTAAAGGTTTCCTTCACACTCCTGGCAAACTGCCCATATGGCCCTGCCTCAGACAAAATGGAGGCACTCCTGATCCCAAACTAATGCATTTGGCTGGGCATTGATTGAAAGCAGCAAGTGGAAAAAACACCATATGCAAAATTAGTAACATGGTCAAACCACCAATTAAATCCTGAGCTGTATACAAAAGAGGGGTATCTGAAGAGACGTTGCGAGAGGATAACTTCTACAGACAATAGCAAAGGGGTTCTTGCTTTTGCTTGTGTGCATGTGAGACCCCGAGTGGGTGTCACTTGAAAGGCAGGCAAGGGAACCCGAACAATGCCAAGATGTTGACACCGATGGCTCCAGCAATGTTATTTATTGCCTGCTTGTCAGTAAATTTTGACCGTAAACCTGGATATTCTCTGGCTTGATGGCTGACAAAATGAGATGATATGACAAGAATTAAGTAATTGTGATGTGCGATATAACTTTCCTTTCCTGCTGGTCCCCTGCACTTAATGATGCACACCTTCCACAAGGCTCCCTTGTCACATTTCATAGAATCATAGAATCACAGAATATCAGGGTTGGAAGGGACCTCAGGAGGTCATCTAGTCCAACCCCCTGCTCAAAGCAGGACCAATCCCCAATCAAATCATCCCAGCCAGGGCTTTGTCAAGCCTGACCTTAAAAACTTCTAAGGAAGGAGATTCCACCACCTCCCTAGGTAATGCATTCCAGTGTTTCACCACCCTCCTAGT